GCTTTATCTAAGGTGTTGTCTACTCCAGCCCTCGGCATTTGGGACATGTTTTCCCTCTCTTGATTCTTTTTGGATAATCTAATAAAATCTTTGCAGCCTTCCATCCAAGCGACATTTTTCTTTTTTGAGGCGGAGGCCCTTGTTTCTGATTCTAGCCAAAACTGTTCGTACATGTTTTACAAGTTTTGCTTCAGCCGATACCAAGATGTCATCAAAATAGGGGATGACTCCTGGAATCCCCTGCAAAAGTCGTTCCATGACACTTTGGAACAGTCCGGGGGCGATACTAATGCCAAATTGCAGGCAGTTGCATTTGAATGCACCCCTGTGAATCACAATGGTTTGGGCCTCCACGGTAGCACCATCTACTGGCAATTGTTGGTATGCCTATATCTAATTTTGTAAAGATTTTTCCTGGGCCGAGTGAATGCAATAGGTGTTGTACAACAGGTACAGGGTAAGCACTTTGTTGTAGCGCTTTATTAATTATAGTCTGTGCAGATGCATACAAACTTGTCATTCTTGACAGGTGTCACAATTGGCGTTTCCCAGTGTGCGTGATCGACTGGCTCTAAGATGCCCTGGCTCACGAGCTTATCGATTTCTTTGTCAATTTTTGGATGGAGAGTGAAAGGTACTCTTCTGGGCTTTAGCCTAATTGGGACTATTGTGGTATATAAATTAAGGGTAATGGGGATTCCTTTGTACTCACCCAGACCGGTGCCAAAGACATCCTTGAACTCCTTAAAGATGGCTTCAGCGGCATCTGCCTCCACGGAGTTGACTCCGGTCACTTCCATTCCCAGAACTTGGAACCAATCAAGCCCCAGCAGGCTCTGTAGGTCGTCTCTGACCACCATCACAGGGAGTTTTTTGCAGAATTGCTTGTGGCTTACCCAGAATGTGACTTGGCCCACGATGGGGACCTGGTTCCCCTGGTAGTCACATAGGCGGATGTCGGGGCTTCTGAGATGTCTCTTTTGTAGCTTGGGGATTGTTTGCTTCAGGGCTGACCATGGAATTATGGTCAGTGATGACCTGGTGTCGATCTCCATTTTGCTTGGAGAGTCCTCGATGAGGACAGTGACTTTCAGCTTTTTGGGGTGAATGGTACAGATTTGTCTAACTGGAAGAGTGACATCTCCTTTTATAGGGATTTTAACATTTTTTTATCTCTAAATGTTCAAGATTGTTGGGATCAGGAAGTGTCTACATTTAATAAATAATAATTAAATTATTGTAATAATAACAGTTAATACCTGGAGTCAGCAGAATAGAAAAGAAAGAAGTAGAAACGATAATAAAATACAAACACCCACAAATAGAAATAGTATAACTGTCACAAAAGAAAGAAACGGCACATATCAATAGTAATAGGTACAATAAACAACTGGAGCACAACTTGATCATCATTGGCATTGACTAAATCCCCATAGGTCAATAATTATTTAATAATGAAAACAACTATTAAAGTCTCCTCACTTGATGACAGAATCATCAAGTTAGACAAGGACATTTAGGCCATGATAGAGGCCTAAAACAAAGGAAGTTGAGCCCTAAAACAAAGTAATGCCTGTATTTTTATCAAAGCAGCAAAGCACCTTCCAGTTCTAATTATTAGAATAAGGAAATGTTATCAAAATATAGAATGACATTCCCTCAAAATGACTGATAAAGAAGCTAAAGTCACCTGGGCTTTATAACAGAAAGGGGTAGCCTCTCATGAGAACATCAATGGAAAAATAACTCATTGTTGACAAGCTAAGTGTGAGACCAAATCCAGAAGTGATTGTATGAGAGGTTCTGATTACATGATGGAAGGAACCGCAGACGAAAAGGCTGGATGCTTTTCCTTTGTTATATCACAGGGTAGGTATACCTCTTGATTCTCTGGCATCACTTTTCCCTTGTTTTTAAAGCTTATTGAAACTTGTTTCCTTCTCAAAGCAGCAGATTGCAGGAAAAAAAGTGTTAGATTCTCGGAAAGAACCAGGTGGGAGGCATCTGAGGTAACCGTAAGTATAACACGTTTATTACAGGCAAGAACGAACAACAGAAGTAGACCGGCACCCTTTCTCTGTCTGACAGCTTTTTATATAGAGCTGTCAGACAGGAGAACCAATAGCCGCGCGTATGACAGCTCGGCAACGTGCAGGTCGTGCCTGATTGGCTAAGGCGCACCTGGCTGTTGCCGAGCTGTCATTCGTAAGTCCGAGGACTTACTCAGGACTCAACACTTGCAGAAAAAAGGGGTCAGAAAAATAGAGCTTTACTAGAGCTCTGATTCCTTGCAGAGAGATCTTGAAAGTAAACTAAGTAAACTAAGAGCCGCACGGGGTACAGTAATCTTAAATTGTTTACCTCTCTAGTCTTGGGGATTTTACACAAGGTCTCCATGTGAATAGCTAGCTAAATTTTCCATAATGTACCCCATATAGCCTGAGTGTGAGAAATCTGAAATGTGGACATGTCAACCCTAACCATCTGCCACAAGTAGTGTTATATTTTATAAGAAGGCCAGGGTATTTAAAGGATCACCTCTCCCCCACCACCAACTATATCCACTTAGCCCACCAATACAGGAAGGCAGTGCATGTTACCGGTCGCATCGATTAGGGAAGGCCCGCAAGAAAAGGGCCTTCTCATTCCCAAGATATGGTCAACCACCTCCTCTTTGCCTTCCCAAAAAATCCTAAAAACGTGGCTTTGTCAGTAGGCTAAGAACCGCACATTAAAATGGAGCTGATCAACTGACTGATTTGATTGTGTTGTTGTTGCTTGTTGAGAGTTGTGTGGGGATTTTAAGGGTTTTTATTACATGGTGGATTTTTCAATGTTGTAAGCTGCTCAGAGTCACTTACATGTGAGTTGGGTGGCTGTATAAATTTGTATAATGAATACATAAAGTAAATATTCCCACTGAGCCCTCCTAGAATATATATTTGATTTCCCAAAAGCTGTTCACAGTTACCTGGCCCCAATGACTAGCTATCCAGGATTAATTAATCCACGAATTAATATTCCTTTCTTCTAGAAGAAATAAATAGCAAATACTGGCAAATATTCTAATGTTTAGATAACTTTCATTGATCATGTTTTGCCATTTTAATAATCAATTACATAGGAATCTGTTTCAGAAAGGACAAACAGAGCTTCTTATCTATAAGTGCATGACACAGAGACATAGGTTTGATTTGCATCTGCTAGAAGCACAGTTTTATTGAAAACCCATTTTCAGCGGAATGTCCAAGAGCAACACCACAGAAATTAGTGCACAGGTTATTGGCCATATCTAAACTTGAGAAGAGGATAAATCTGCTAGTTAAAAGACAGTCCATTGATGCCATGAACAGTGTTCAATAACTAGAGGTAAGATTCCTCTTTTTCTAACTGTTATAAACCAGTGTGCAGTATAGAATAGAGTTGCGAAGCCTACATTAGTTGAAGATCTTATTGTTCATTCATCTGCTGTATCCTAGAGAAAGGAAAGAAAAAATAGAAAATTTTGTGGGTAGAAATGAAAACATCTCAAATTAATAAATATGGCCTGCCCTCTTAACATGGAAGTTGTTCAGATAATGTAAAAGATCCTTCCTGAACTATGAAAAAAAATGGCAGGGGATACAAGCTAGTTTATTAATTATTTATTAATCTGATTAATCTGATCAGATTTATTAATGAATAAGTATAAATGCGCTGTAAAAACAAGGAACTGGAATGAGTATATACACATTGCTGTTACATGTTCACTCAGAACAAGTTCAGATACATTTGGGACAGAACAATCTTAATAAATCTCGATAAATGAGGGACCGAGCCATAATGGTTAATCTATGCCTGAATTAATCAGGGGCTCAAAGGAACAGGTCTGGATATCAGTCTAATAGAATTAATGAAATAAGAATGATTGCATTAATGGTTGCAGAATCTGTAGGGACAATAGAAGGATTGAATAGGCCAAAGCTTAGCTAAAATAGCTTGTATTGTCTTTCCAAGAAAGGTTCATTTTTCAATTTTGCATTTATAGCAAAACATTTGTTTGTTTTAAGGATTACTTCCCATCTTTAATATAGGGACACTGTGATTCCCCCCCCCCCCCCTTACCTTTCAGATCCGACGGGGAGACCTGGCTTGAACTAGAGCTACTGTAAGAATGAGAGAGGAGTCTCACTCCTCCTGAGTGTTTGGAATGTCCCCCTCCAGAAGTGGTGCTGCTGGGAGTACTGTTAAAAAAAGAAAATATCCTCAAATGAATTATTAAATATGTATTAATAGTGTTAAATAAAATTATTTGTGTTGTTTTTATGGTATATGATTGCAGGACAGGAGAAGAATGAGAACAGAGGATTCCTTGAGTGATTTTAAATGAACAAAAGAAGAGATCTACTAAATTGGCCCAAAAGATTATATAGACACGCATCTTTTTTCCCAGGCTACACATTTGACAGCTGTACACTTCTACAAATTCCCAAAGAATGCAGAACTCTCAAGTATCTAATGTGTATATCTGACAGTTCCATTTTAATTCATTTTTAGTTGTATAATGACATTGTAATGTGCCCCATGTTTTTTTTAAGGTGGCCTTCATGGGTTGGGCGTATGTAGAGGCAGATTCTGAAGGCCATAGACTGGGAGGGCAACTTAATCTAATAAACTGGAATCTTCATCCTCTAGAGAAACTGATAAAACTGATAAAAGAAAATTCAGTTCTTATGTATTTGGTAATGAACCTGTAGTATTGATTTTCAAAATTGACAATTTATGAGATTTTGTACTTCCTAAAATTAAAAAAAAGACCATCTTGTTTGAGGGATCCATATAATAACCCTTTTAAAAATGTGACCATCAGCAGATGTACATTTCACAATTTAAATTAGTTGTTAATCTTCATGAGAACTAGCCTTGCAGGGCAACAAATAGCTCCCCTGTCTACAGAAAGTCCATGATAAATAAAAGGCAGGAAATTGGTCTAATACATAAGGAATAAAATCTCTCATGCACCTCTCTGGAAGTAAAATAAAAATAAATTTAAATAAATTACTGTTGCACTCTATGCTGACTGTTGAAGGCCGTTGCTTCCCTTAGTGTAATAGTGCACCTGGTCCTGCCTCAGAAGAGTTATAGGGCTAGTAGGAAAGAAGAAATATTAGAACATCTAAAAATGTTTACAATTGCCATGATCTGCCTACCTAATGTCTTGCTGCCCTTCTTCTAACAGGGAGCGGTAGGTCTGGATCTCCTGTTCCAAGCGACACTTGACATCTAGAAGTTCTCTGTATTCTCGATTCTGGCACTCCATCTCTGCCCTCAACTCTGCCAGTTGCTGTTCCACACAAGAGATCTGGTTCTGTATTTCAGCCAGGTGGGTATTATAGCGACATTCGGTCTCACCCAAAGAGTCTTGCAGTGATTCCCTCTTAATAAGTTAAAAAGTGAAGGTTATCAATAGAAAAATGAGGTTAAAACATTTCAAGAATGTATCCTACAAGCTGAATTTTTCCAAAGAAGAAGATAATCTCTTGTACTTCACAAACAATGCTTTGGTTTTTGTACATGTGAAGAAAGGAAATGCCCTTTACAGAAGTCATTGGCAATTACGTATACAAATGGTATGGAGAATAACTTACAGTGTAACAAGAAATATTTTCCTTCCCTATCCCATCCGTTACTTTTGATATTCCTTTTGTTGCAGGTTCCTCAATTCTTAGTCTACCTCTTTCTTTGTTTCTATCTACCCTGTACTTTATTGCCTTCAACTGTCCCCTTGGTTAGTGCTGGCACAGGAATGGTCATCATCTTGTAAAATTGTCTCATGAGTTAACTGGCTCTACAGATCTGCATGTTTACCTAAAATAATAATTTTCTAAAGTTGCAATCTTTGACACTGTAGAGAAACTATTAAAAAATCTGTTCTATCAGTATGAACCTTATACTTGCTATGGCTAATAAGTTGTTCTTGCAATAGACAAATCAGAAATTGAAGTCTATTGTATAAATAAGAGAGCTTCTTACCAAGCAAAGCTGAGCCTGCAAATCTATTTCCAAGGTTTGCAGCTGACGTTTTAGGTCAACAACTTGATTGTTGCAATCCTCAACTTCTTTGCTACTGATGCAGACCTCCTGATTCACTTCTTCCATCTGAAAAGACATAAAAAAATAAGATGTGGAAATTGAGAAGCAGTTTCTTTACTGAGGAAACTACTGACATCAAGATAATTTTAAACCTTTGAAAAATTAAAATATTGGTAAGGGGAAATATTTTTAAGGAGTAGAATAAGAGCCTGATCTAAGTGTTATTTGTTAAAATATGCTGGGGGAATAATAGGTTTTAATTATTAAAATAGGCTTACTTATATTCATAGCAAGGACAATAGGATGATATGAGAGTGATAGTGGTGATGATGAAACTCCAATTTTATTTTTTTCAAATCATGGTAGCACAAATTATGAATGCTCCCATTAGCTATTTTCCCAACCACAACAATCATGTGACATGAATTGAGCTGAGAAAGAATAATTGGCTCAAATCACCCAAAAAACTTTCATGACTAAGGAAGACTACAATGTATGGACTTTCAGTTTTGAGTCCGGCACCTTAACTACTGTGCCAAACTGGCAAGTAGAAAATTAAATGGAGGATTTTCGTATTTATTTTATGTCCTTAGGGCTAGCTGCTCATTTATTCATAGCTGCTCATTTATTTATTTATTTAAATGATCTTATATTCATGATCTCACTATTTATTCATGATATTATATTCATGATCTCACAATTACATAAGGAGTATTCTGATGAATCATTCTGTCCATAGCAGAAGATCATTCTTTACATGGCCAGCCCTCCATTACCATGATCACAATGTGTTACATTTATATTTCATTTCCAGCTTAGAATTATCCTCTCTAAACATACAAGGCACCACCAAAAGTAACCATGGTATTCTGGTCTGGCTTTTTCCATTCTAGATGAGTGACCAGACATCAGGATAGATTCATTTAGTCTCTGGTCTAAATGGTTTAACCCATAACTGGAGTTTTCTGAAAGTAGCTGAAAATATCCCACAAATACTACTCCCAAAAGACACTCAAAATTTTGATTCTGTTCTTTCTGGTGGGATCACCGGCACCTCTACAGTCTTTGGAAGCCAAAAAATATTTTTAACAATATAATGAAGTTCAGTCATTAACCAAAACAATTGTGGACTTCTAAATGGGAAAATGTTGAGAGACCAAAATAGTGCAATATCCCAGAATGGTGAAGTAGGATTATCTTGCTTATTCTTTCTCATTGCCTCTATAAACCATTTCACAATATAAATAGGAGGAAGAGCTGATAAATTGTTATTCCTAAATGGCCAGATTTCAGGTCAGCGCTGCGCCTTAAGGGAAGGGAAACATATACCCGACTTTTATAATATGCTGTATGAAGAGGTGCTTGATTCAAAACGAAAGGGGGGCAAATAGTCTTGAAGTCTCAACAGCAAAATCCTGAACATAATTTATTTGATCCAGGTTTTTTTTCCTAATGAATATGTGACATTACTTAAATGTATGTTTATTGCACCGAAAATAGAGAGTGTAAATGTTATAAAAATCAGTCTTCCTCCTCAAGTGGTAGTTCCCCCCAGAACTGACTACTCAGATTGTACAGTGTAAACGTGACTGTGTAAATTTTACTGAAATCAGGAACAACATAATAGTGGTGAAATTCAATTTTTTTTACTACCGGTTCTGTGGGCATGGCTTTGTGGGCATGGCAGAGGAAGGCTACTGCAAAATCTCCATTCCCACCCCACTCTAGGGGAAGGATACTGCAAAATCCAATTCCCTCCCCACTCCTGGGGGAAGGATATTGCAAAATCTCCATTCCCACCCCACTCTAGGGGAAGGATATTGCAAAATCCAATTACCTCCCCACTCCTGGGGGAAGGATATTGCAAAACCTCCATTCCCACCCTATTCTGGGGCCAGCCAGAGATGGTATATTTGCTGGTTCTCCGAACTACTCAAAATTTCCACTACTGATTCTCCAGAACCTGTCAGAACCTGCTGAATTTCACCCCTGCAACATACCTTGCGTTCATACCACTGCTCAACTTCTTTGCGGTTGTTTTCAATCATGGTTTCATACTGACATCTCATTTCTTCCAGAACTTTCTTCAGATCTGGACCTGGGGAAGAGTTAACTTCCACACTAACATCACCACAAGTTTGACTCTTCAGACTCTTAATTTCCTGCAAATGAAGTTCAAAAAGATGTCATCCTCAGGCAGAAGATAAGGGTTTTTTTTCCAGTCTCACTCCTACAAAGAATAATAGCAATGTGGAGAAGGGGAACTGACCTCCTCATGGTTCTTCTTGATACAGCACAGCTCTTCCCGGAGAGATTCAAGTTGTGCCTCCAAATCAGATCTACAAAGGGTCAGTTGATCCAGAACCTGGCGCAATCCATTGATATCAGCTTCCACATTTTGGCAAAGAGCCAATTCCGTTTCATACCTGCGTCATAGTTACAAAAGGGAAGGGAGCATTGTTAGATCTATAGGGATTGTCACCAGAATCAATACTTCTGGAATAGATTTGTATGCAAAGGATTCCCTCTTTTGCTTCATTGCATTGTTCTTGAGTGGACTGCTTATTTGTGGATATTTGATAGTATCCCACTAGGGAAAAGGAAAGTTTAAAAGGCACTTGTTTCATGTTTTATCTTTGTTTTTTATATTTTATTCATATTTTTTATATTTATTGATACCTTCCTTGTTGGATTGTTGTGAGCCAGCTAAAGTTGCAGAGTCATGTGTCATACAAATTTAATAAATTATTTGTATATACAATAATGTGAAATCAGAGCTGGTATTTAGCTGGTCTTTATACATATCAAATTTTTGCTGACAGATGTTTGCGGGAGGCTATCACAATTGAAAACAGAGTTTGCCAGGGCCACAGGCAGCCCTCCTGAGCTCCATTTTAGCTGGCAGAGTGTTGTAGGAGGCCATCGCAGCCAACAGCGGAGCTCGCAAGCCCTTTTTCACTGGCAGAGTACTCGTGCTACCACAGGCACCCCTGACACAAGTGACATTGAGCTGACCATGCCCACCCTGGCTATGCCCAGCTGAGCCCCCTGAGATCAAACACAACCCTCATGCGGCCCTCAATGAAATGAAGTTTGACACCCCTGACCTAGAATGTCATTATGTATTGGCATAGTATGTGTGCAGTTCCAAGCTGTGTAATTTTTATGTGACTCAAGTGGGACTTACTTCAACCTGAAGTCATCAGCAGTCATGCGGTTATTATCAATATCCAGGATTAGCTTACTATTATCCACTGAGGCACAAACAATCTGCATTAGGGAAAGAATAATGTTATTTGAACTTTACCACCTACTACTTCTCAATTGTCACAACATTGTACCTGAACGTAGCGTTTAGTTTTACTTTCTAGTCTATATGTGTTCCCTACCCAGAAGGGTATTTTATGCTTTCCCCTCTTGGTGATGATTTTCTTCACTCATAAAATCCTTGATGGTTGTTACTCTCTAGCTGGGTGAAAAACCATTTCCCAAATAGTACTCCCCAACTCTAACTATCCCCTTCCTCGAATAGCCATTCTGTTCCTAGTTAACATAAAATATATTTCTGTATTAAATTCCAAAGCATCAATGCCTAACCTATGGCATTCAATGGCTAGAATGATTATTAATAGAGATGTACATTATAAAGGAACAATTTCATACCTGATTCTTCAACTCTTCAATTTGTTGATAATAAGAGCTATAATCCTTTAGCTCAGATGGTGGGCCTTGTCGGTCATACCACAGCCTAATTCTGCTTTCAAGCTCAGCATTCTCCTCCTCAAGGCGTCGCACTTTCTCCAAGTAAGAGGCCAAGCGGTCATTGAGATTCTGCATGGTCATCTTCTCATCACAGGAAATCAAGGGAGTATCATTGCCAAAGCCACCACCAATTTGCCCAAAGCGAAAAGTGCCCCCAGAACCATACAAGTAGCTCCCTAACATATTTCCTCCAAAGCCACCATCAGTGCAACTTGCCCCTCCATAGGAAGCTCCACTGGAAAAGGTCCTCCCAGATACACCACCTCCAACACTACTTACAACAGAGGAGGCCCCTCTCCCGGGGATTCCTGAAACTACCCTTATTCCACCACAGCTATTACTGGAGTTTCTCCCCTTGGTGTACATCATAGTCTGTTTGGACCTGCAACTCATCTCAAATAAATTTTAGAAGCAAGATCAAAGAGCCAGAAAAAATAAAATAAAGCCAAAGATGCACAGCTTGGTGCAAAGATAGACTGCAGATGCTAACACATATACACAGGTATCTATTTATACTTTCTGCAGTGTGGGTGTTGCCATAAGGGTGTTACTTCTTCTTCCATAAGGCTGGCTCATCTGGCTTTCCCTAGCCAAGGAAAATTATTCTGAAGGCAAATTTGCCTTCAGAAATCTCAGCTACACTCCGCTTTTGCGAGATGTCAGCAGCTTTCTTTCCCAAATACATCAGCCACAATATCAAATGAATCATTCTCTTTGCTCTACACTGAAAAGTGTCATAAAATCATATTACTATAAAATATTCAAGGGAAAGGAATAATTACAACCTACTGCAACAAAAATATCTCCCACTATTATTAGGGATCATTTGTGTTGATTTCATCTTGATTTTATTTTGCTACAGTGCTTTATGAATTTTCTCCTCTTTGGGCTCAATGGGAAGCTAAGCAAATAACACCTCTGAAATCAAGTCCAGGTATATTAAACAGGAATCTTTGTCTCTAATCTTGAAAGCTGCCAAGCACATTTGGTTATTAAATGGTACGTGCTTATGTTTTGAACCTGAATCCAGTGAGAAATTGACATTGTGAAATAACTCTAATTTGAAAACAGTAAGGAACATGTTTTATTGGAACATAAAACATGGCTGTGAGCCATGGGATCAATATTTTAAATGAGTTAATTTTAATGGCTGTTATAAAGATATTGAGAGGCTGCATTTGGAATTATTCACAAAATTTGCTTGACAACATAAGACAACTGTAATACACACTGAATAGATACTTCAGCAGAGCATCTGCTGAAGAGAGCTGCAGTTTTAGGTCCCTTAAGAGGTGGAGTGCTTGAAGAGAAAGCAAAAATCCAATTTTATCAAGAACATCTGAAAAAGTAAAATATTAATTATAAATATGAATGTGTTTATGAAAAGAACAAAGCTAGTATAGAATTGCCTCTTACTATTTTTTTCTCCTAAGCCACCTTTCTTTTTTCTCTCCCCAATTTTAATTTCGAAATAGCTGGGGAGACCATTCTTCTTCTAGTAGAGGATGTCCAGTCTTATATGGATCCAATGAGTAAAAAGAAAGAAAGCAGGGTCAGAAGAAACAGGTTTTAATTTCATATGTAATTAACTACATGAGTTAAAATAGTTAATTGGAAACAGTCTATGTATTTATCCAGTCAAATTTAGGTATCAGGTTAAAACCTGCGACCTTTAAAACTGCTATTGGGTTAGAATCTGGCATAGGATCTTCTGTAGAGTCTAGAAGAAATTTAAATGAATAACCACAAAATAAATTTAACAAGTTTTAGAAGGATTTTGAATGTTGTATTTTAGCTTTGAAGGTTCCACATCTGACCCAAGGAAAAGATGGTAGATTAGGTGGGGGTTTTTTTCCTCTTAAATTCAGCATTCAATTTTCTATCACAGGCAAGTACTTGCTTTTCACTATATTTTTCAGTCGCTTGTCATCCAGGACAAGTCACAATGAGATAGTGATCAGATGACACCATGGCACAACACTTATTTTTTAAAATCCTTGTTTCTATATGCCCTCCACTTTTTAACAAAATTCTTCCAATGTTTGTGGTATTTCACTCTTCTAGGAGGCATTCTATAATTAACAATTCATTATTTCAATAAACAAAGCAAAATTTAAAAGGAAAAATCAAAATAGTTTTAAAATAAAATAAAAGCAATCCATTAAAACTGAAATATTAATGACTGCAAAATCTCACTGTAAGGTAGAATTTTTAAAAGATGTCTAAAAACATGTCAATATGAGTTCACATAATTTGTGCTATGAAAACACAATACTTGTACAGATCTTTAATGCTGTGACATTGGAGAACATTCTTATTCATATTTACAGTTCTCAAGATTTTCAGATAAGGACCTCATAGTTCTATCTCTATTTTTGTTTGAGCTAGAGGTATTTTAGTTTTGTGCTAATTTTCAATATGAATAATAATTATGTTGTATAATCTTTCAGTTTAGGGTGTAATGAATCATCATTTTAAAATCTCAAATTGTAAGCACCCAATGTAACATTGCATTTAAATTCACTTATCTTCTTCCTATCTCATCATTTTTGATCTTAAACAAACTTATCCTATTTATTTTGAAGTTGGCAATTCAATGGGAATGATAATGATTACAATGATAGAAATCTTTCCCATTTATTGTTTTTAGTTTTAGTGAGTTAAAAATCCCATCCTTTTCATGAGCCTATTGGCAGACCATGAAAGTCACAAGGAAAAATTTCTGGCAGCTGAACAGTTTTCCAACATATCTGCCTGATGAACATTGTTCCAAAAATGAATCTCAGGTTCATTAAGAGTGGCAGGAAAGCATAAATAATAACATGAATGATATTTTTATTTTCTGCAATGTAAATGACAGCCATGGGGAACTTTTAAAAGCTACCCCCATCTTCATTGCAGATGGAGAATAGAATTAGAAATCTTTTCTGACTACTGTTATTAAATATACATAAATGTTCATGAGATGCATCTGATGAAAGCTTATGAGCTTTAATAACATTAGTTGGTTAGAAAAGATACTTTAGAATTTGCATCATTATTTTGCCAGCATAGATTAATACATCTTTCCTCCTTCAATGTTTGCGTCTGTGTGTTTGTTAAATCTATATGCTACCTACCCCACTAGCCAAAATGATTCTGGGGGACTTACAATACCATAAAACTATAACTTAAATGACAGGTAAAAACCAAGAGAACAAAAATATTAAAAATAAATACAGTGAAAAGCAACCAACTACTTCCAAAATAGCATGTCCCCATCAGGTCCTCATCATCCCAGTGCTCTATCAAATGGTTATACTCTTGCTACTTACATGATAAAATTTAAGGACAGAAACTGCATTTGTACAATTGGCCCCAGCTATACTGCTTTGGATACCAACTTAGTTTCATAGATATACATCAGGAAAAAAATGAAATTGATTGAATCTTGATTTAGTGACTCATACTTAAACAAGCCCCAGTAAAAGCAATTGAATATATTAATCCCCCATTAATGTCATTGATTTCACGTGGCTGCTTGAAATATCATGAAATTTGAATCCTCAATATGTGAAGCACCTCAAATACTAACTGAAACTTATAGACTATCCCACCCCACCCTCCAAGATGCCTGAAGCATCCTTAGCAGCTTAGAAATCAGTACCACAAAATTGTACAGTAACAAAATTAACAAATTAAGGTACACCCAATGTACCTTCAAGACGTGGGTTTTTTCTTAAAAATATACCTTGAAGCACAGGACATTTTCTCCTCCAAAGCATTTGTACTTTGTTGGTAGTAATTGGTTTCTAAATTGGATCTAATACTCCTTTAGGGGATTCTATGCTAAATTATTGGCTAATGTTTCCATATGGGAATAAAGAAAGGTAATTCATAGTGTGAGTGAAACTAAACAGGTGAAGGCAATTACTCTGTGGTTGCAAAAATAAGGAATTGAAAAAATAGTTTCAATTGGCAAAACAACAACAACAACCATATCTTCTTCAGGCATCACTAATGCTTGGGTTATACTTTTCTTACCAAGGAAGACACAACATTTGTAACTCATGAGTTTCCTTGGGTGTTTTTCTATTATAGAACACGTTTAGAACCAATCTCACAAAGGCGGAGAAATTTCATTGGGGTAGGATTGGGCAATCTTTTGGTAACTAAGGCTGCAGTGAATATTTGGAAGGAATCCATAGTAATGGGCAGAGATAAAGCAGTTTCTTCTTCAAAAATGAAGACACTCATCTGTTCAATTGTATTTCACCCCTCTGGAAGAAAATAACTGAACCTAGGATTGTTGCTTCTGTTTTCCTGAGTTTGGGAGAATATTAAGGTCATGGTTTACCAGCCACCATGACTGAGCACCTTGTGGAACATCCTTACCGCTGAAGTTAAATTGGGCCCACTCCTTCTGATTTACCACAAGGCCATCAAGAGCTGGTTATGTAACCAGGCATGGGGCTCTCGTGGAATTAGAGATTTTGCTAGATGGCTCCATTTCTTGCTTTCATTTGGGAGTTTGGGGGATATTTATGAGTATGTTTTTTATATATGTAATTGTTGTTTTATACTATTCATTTATTTAATTATGCACAGTTATATAGATTTGATATACAAGATGCAAAGAAAAAAGGAAGAAAGGGTTTATTTAACCTGAAATTGTATATTGCAGCTTGTTATTTGGTTTGGATGAAATACTAGATATTTCGGAGATATAAACAATTTTTAAAGTTAAGTCATGATCTGCAACTTGGGTGGCATGGGTACTTATATAGGCAAGGTTAATGTAGATTTAAAAAATCATTATGTTTGATGCTGTGTATGGAATATGGAAGACATGCAAATCTAGGCTGTGCTCATAAGCAATTTTTATAGCTCTCAACACAGGAAGCACTTTATAGATGGGATACAATAGTCCTACAGTATTTAACACATCTAACTAACATGTAACTAGCCTATTTAGTTCCAATTAATCACCCTTGAAAGGCAGATGACCCTTTCCTAAGTAATGTGATAAGTCAAGGATTGGTGCTTTCAGCAGTGTCTTTTGCACATTCTTCTACTTGTTTCCCCCCTCCCCTTTCAAAAAGTTCAGCCACTTTTTGAATCGATAGAAATGGCTACTTCTGCCTAACCAAAGAAGGAAATGCATCACCAAAAATCATGGACATAAACAATAATTTGCAAAATAAAATTACACTGGCAGACATTTGTTAGAATTCATGCATACATATACTGTATCTAACCAAAAGTGTAATATATGTCATCATGGCAAAACATGTGTACCAGATGCTGAAATCTGGAATGCTTCTCAGTTTGCTTTTTTAAGGGCTATTTTTGAACAATTGCAATGATCCAACTCTCCAGTAACACAACCCATTCCATGCTTTTAGCATGCTGAA